TTTTCCGAGACAGGGTTTCTCTGTGTAGCTTTGGAGCCTATCCTGGAACTCACTCTGTAGCCCAGGCTGGCCTCGAACTCACAGAGATCCACCTGCCTCTGCCTCCTGAGTGCTGGGATTAAAGGTGTGCACCACCACTGCCCGGCTTTTTTGTTGTGTTTTCTTCAGTATTTCTTTGTGTGAGAAATGCTCCATTATGCATGACAGGCCACAGTTCAATGTCAGCATCCTCTTCTGCTGCTCTCCATGGTATTTTTTTTTTTTTTGAGCAGGGCTCTCTAAGGGAACCTACATACTATTCTGGGTGGACTGACCACCCAGCCAGGCCCCCAGGATCCTCCTGTCTCCAGCCCTACCAACACTGGTGTCACAGGTGAGGTGTATGCTGCCATGCCGAGCTTTTGGTGGATTCCGGGGATTTGAACTCAGGTCCCCATGCTCTGACTCAGTGAGCCACCTCCCCGGCCCCTTGTGCAGCATTTTTAAGTGTTGGGTGTCGTGTGGGGCGTCTGTTCCAGTGTATCCTGCTATGTTGACCTAGGCGGAGATCACGGTTTTAAACTGCAATCCAACTAAGGAAAATAAACTATCACTTAAAAGAAATCATCTTTATGGAATAATTTTGTCTATGTACACAAGCCCAGCCTCCCTCCTCAGTTCAAAACTTTGGGTACTCAGAAATAGACTATTTAATTAAAAAAATTAAATTAAGGAATCATGTTTTAAGCTAGAAGACTAGCACTAAGACAAAATTGATACAGTTCAGCCTAAGGTAGAAGTCAGACTCTCGTATTCCCTTATCAAGAACAAGCACCCAGCTAGGCAGCAGCAACCAACCAACTTATCCAACAAAACAACCCCTCCCCCGCCCACCAGGGAACGTATCAGACGCCATGACCCACACACTGCCAGGCTGTGCCATTCTGGCCTCGGTAGGCTCTTGCGCATGACGTCAGCAGAGGAGGAGGCTGCATTCGGTAAGAAGAGCGTAATGTCTCAACACCCTGACTAGAAGATATCCGAGATAAAACATCTGCTTCCCGAAGCTGCTGGTGTGAACACTGCCACTGTAGCTAAAAACCAGCCATGGGAGAGGTCGAGACCCACTGCCCGGAGTTCACACGGTCCGCTACCACGGCTGCCCTCAGTGGGGCCTGCCTGCAAGCTTGACCCATGGCTGCTGCCCGGAGCTTGGCCGGCACATAGTTTCTACACTGAGACAAGTGTTCCTTAGGCTGGGACTGTTTGTGCCAACATGGTTTATTCTCAACATCCGCTTTCGCATCAGGAATTTCCAACTGTGACACCTGCTAGGCACTGGTGTCTCCTGGCTCGGGCCCTGGCAAGCACCCTGGGACCCAAGTCTAATGGACTTCCTGGCAGAAGACTCATCACAGATGTTCCCATACTTGCAGCTGGGGATCCAGTGCTGCCTGTGATGCCTCTGTGTGTGTGTGGGGGGGGGGGCGGCACTCTGAGACGCTTGCTCCTGGATTCTTCTGGACCTCGCCCCAAGCGTTTCTGTCATTCACTGTTTAGAATCTTCATGGGAACAAATCTTAGGCAGGGGCACACTGCATGCTGACACTAAGCGAGGCATGAGCTTAGAGCTCTCAATACAGACAATGCTGTCCTCCCTTGTGAGAGCCCCTGGGGAAGCAGGAGGCTGGGAAGAGCGGGCCGCAGCCCTCAAGCAGAAGGTGGGGGGTAGCTGCTCTGCAGGGGGATGTCTGGTAGGATGGAATGCTTCGATTCACAGAAGGAGTCCCACGCAAAGCTAACAAACACGGCAAGGCTAGTCAAAACCTGCTTGCGAGATCCATTTCAAAGACCAGATCACAAACAAAATAGGGCCCTGCAGAACTTTCGGTTCTGAGTTGAAGCTATCTTGCCAGCGGGGGGCATCTAGACCTACAGACAGAAGGACATGCCTGACCCATGATGTTCCTGGATTCTCATTCCAGAGCCCCAGGCGGGACCTGTAGTGTGACATGTGGGTCTCAGCACCTAAAGAAACTGGGTGCTCTGATCTACAGCATCCACGACATGTGCTTCATGACTGAGGAGCCAGGGTCTGAGAATGTCTGCCCACATCACTGTTCGGAATCCAAGAGCTCCAAGACGCGGCCATGAACTGCAGCGCACCACCCGATGAGGGAGGGTCTGACCATGAACGTGGAAATGAGAACACCAAAGCAGAAGCAGGGGATGGGGAGTGCGGGGCTCCTCAGGCCACCCCAGGCCTCACCCTAACATGTCACCGCCTCTAGAAGCACGTGGCCAGCAGGAGGGGCTCTGCTCCTGAGGGGGCAGAAAAGAGAGCCGTGGCTGAACACATGGGGGATTAAACTCGGACCCGTGACCGTGAGGGGGAAATCTGTTCCTTCTGGCCGTGCCCCCAGAAAATGAAGCCGGTAGCTGTACTTGTCAGCAGCAGAAGGGAAGAGAAGGGAAACTCTTCCCTGCCCCCGGCCCCAGAACCATCAAGGCTGCGTCCTGCCCACATGCGGGGACTGGGTACAGGATTAGGGGGACTCACATGCAGGGACACACAGAGTTGTCCCCCTACCCCTGAGCAACCCAAGCCAACACCCCAAGGAGTCTTGATTGCTGGCATTTCCTATATCCACTTACTAAACATGTAAAATAGGTACATATGTCTACTAAAAGTCTATGAAAACATGTGTGTATATGTATGGGTGTAAACACAAAGGGACAGGGTTGGAGAAACATACAAATTTCAATATAAATGTAAGACAAATAAAATTAGGGATAAAACTTGTCTTAGACCAAAGGTCCTTTGTATGGGTCATATGACTATATTTGCTTTTTATCACTGAACTGAATTAAAAATCAAGAGAAAACGTGGGGCTGGGGGTGACGTACATCTTAATAACCTTAAACAAAGCTAGCTGTCTCTCCCTTCCTTCCTTCCCTTTCAGAGTTAGGGCTATATCTCAAACCAAAGATTACTCGAATAGGTTCTTTTCTGGGGTGAGGAATTAACTTCCAGATTCTTACCGTCATGAATCTCGAAAGCCAGACTAGTGATCTTCTGCGTAATGATCATCATTGGGCTGTGACGAGACAAAAGTAGATATTTTAAACGGAGGATGTCACAACAACATGCACAACGCAGGACACAGGCTCGACTCTGCTCACACGACAACAAATCCCTCGAGTGTCTACCCTATCCAAAACTCACGGGGGATTTCTAAGAGCTAGCAACTCAGGGGCTTCCTGTCTTCAGAACGTGCAGGAGAGAAGAAATCCAGGCGTTCTTTCTCCGTGACTTGAAAAACAAGTAAAAAGAGGGACCTGCGCCTAAAACTAACCTTCTGTGAGCCAGCTCCCTACGACCAGGGCCTGTGGTCAGAAGTGCAAGGGCACCGGACGCGGCCAGGGTGTGACTAAGCGCCTCCCGCAGCAGCATCTCCTAGGCCTGTGGCCCAAGGGTGAACATCAAAGAGAACAGAGAGGATGCCTGAGGAAGGGGGGACGAGGAAAATTAAAGGAGCTAGGGTGAGAAGTGTAAGAGGGTGGAGCCAAGAAGAAAAGGGCAGACCGCCATCTCCATGCTGAAAGCAGGGCATGCTGGTGCCAGCCGCCCAGAACCCAGAAGCCTGGCGTCTGCTAAGTCAAGAGAAACTGTTTTGCACATATTACAAGAACTAGCAGCGTTTCCCCTACTCTTGTGAGAATTCTAACTGATCGGCTAACTTGTAGCAGAAAATCCAATCAGTCAAACAAGAAAACTGTACTGCGTTACACCCACCCCTGAGTTACACCCCACTCTGCTTGTGTTACACCCCACCCTTGTGTTACACCCCACCCTGCTTGTGTTATACCCCACCCCTGCGTTACACCCCACCCTCACAGCATCGGCTTTCAGATGGTCATTTAACTTCCTAAAACTTCAACAAAATCCCAAGTTACACTTGCCAACAGGCAGAGAGTGTGTGCTCTGCACGCTGGGGGAGCTAGGAATCTCACGGCATCGTCCTCTCAAAGCCTCCCCAAAAGGGACCACACGCAATCACCCTCGCTGGGCGCCCAGGGCCAGCCCTGGTCATGAGCGGCAGAGGCTCAGGCTCCACGCAGCGAGGTTCACACTGCTCACAGCGGAGGCGCTGCCTACAACGTGTACACACGGGGCACAAGGGTTTGCTTCCTACATCTCACTCTGGATTCAGGGTCCCAACTGTGCCCTTGAGAGTTCAAGCTCCGAGGGGCAAGGTCAGATGAGGGCTGCTCTCTAACTCCCTGTGCGTGAGAGCGAAGGACTTCTCTTGGCTCCCTTAAAAACCAATGCTTACGGTTACCTAGGAAATCACTGCTCAGCCGGCTGATTTAATCCCCCAGGTTGCCCTGCACACAGGCCGCCTGTCACTTCTGCCTTCAAGTCCTTGAGGATTATACAAATGGCCTGAGATTTCCATCTCCTTGTGGGGAGACTCTTTGTTCTCTTCCTGCCTGATGCTCTTTCTGAGCCTCATGGGACCACATCCTGGTCTGGGAGGCTGAACGGTGCTCAGGTGCACACCTGACTCCAAGGGTTACACAAAGAAGGGAAGAAGGTGGGGGGCAGATCCCAGGACCAAATGCTGCCCACCCCTCCCGCATTCGAGCTGTTCTTTCTGGTATCACTCTGCAAAGACAGCTTTGCTGCCCCTCCCAAGCCTCAGCCACTTTGCCCAAAAGACCTAACGGACAACACATATTAAACATCTCCCCTCTGGTCATTCACAGGCAGGATGGTTGAGCATCCCCCACACCACTTCCTGCTGCTTTTCTCTCAAACAATGATAAAACCATCCCTGAGGGTCCCTCTGAGACTGTTTCTAAATTATTTTATTAAGAAGACAAAGACTCCAAAAGAGGGCACCCCAACTTCCCCCCACCACTGGTGACCATCGACCCCATGTGTGGTAGTCCACTGCCTCCGGCTCACCCTGCTCCCAGGAGCACAGCGAACCTAAGACCACAACAGAAGGAACAGTACAGACTGCAGGGGAGTCTGTTGTGAATGAAGACTAAAAAGAGGATTGCAAGAAATTTCAGAAAGGACGAATGGATCAAAGAGGGTTAAGGAATCTGGAGAGGGGCAGAGGTCGACAAACTCAACACAGAGCAGAAGGGCAGCTGGGAGACAAGAGGCGTGATGGGAGCGGGTAGGGAGATGACAAGAAATGCGTCAAAACCCTCGTAGGGCAGAGCCGGCTGTACAGAGCAAGAGCCATTAGAGAAACCAAGGCAAGCCCTCCGAGAGCAGATACAGTGTTTCCCTCAACAGCACACATTTTTTAAGCATCGTTTCAGAGCAGCTGGTGTGACTCACAAGGTGTTTCCACTGCGCCTTTGTTGACATTTTTTAACTGTTGATTTTGTAGCAAAGGGCGCTTCCCAATACCTAATCCCTCCCCATGTCCAAGAAGCTGACTTAGCCTGCCAGGCCGGGTAAAGACCCTCCTGTCTATCCTACAGCAGACAGGAGAGCAGCCTGAGGACACCAACGGAGGGGTCGGGGCCTAGATGGGACCTCCACCATCTTCTATGTGACAAACCACTGTGTTGGTGTGAGACTGAAAAACGTAAGGAAACAGACTGGCACTACTCAAGGAAATACGTAATCGATGGGACAATTTTGACTACACAGAGACTCCTCTGAACTAAGGGACTATTTTTTTTTTAAAGATTTATTTATTTTTAGCTTATATGTATGAGCATGTATGTATGTATATCGCATGTATCTCCATGTACGTATGTATACTACATGCATGCAGTGCCCAGAAGGGGGCGTACGATCCCTGGAACTGGACTTACAGATGCTACCATGTGGATGCTAGGAACTGAACCTGGGTCCTCTACAAGTCAGCAAGTGCTCTTAGCCTCAGAGCTATCTCTCCAGCCCTTGAACTAAGGCAAAATAAAAACCACCTTTCTGATATAAAAATAATGATAAATTTTAAGTACGCATTCTCTACAAAGAATGAGAACAGAATAATTTGGTTTTATCCTAAAGTAATCCTCAACTGTAGTTGACGCTACTGGAGAAGAGAGGTTTAAAATAAACAAGCACTTTTCAGCTCGGCTCATTATCTCAGAAATGGCTACGATGAACTCAAATGATGCTTGTCTATTAATGCCCCAGTAACTATAAGCACCCACTTGCTACCAGGACATGTTACCTAACAACAGAGGCAATTTGTTATGTCCCTGTACTCAGATCACCTTTCCACCAACAAATGCTCTTTATCCACAAGACCATGGAGACCACCCAGACCCCGCCTGCCCCACACCAAATGCACGTGGGATGGGAGCCCAGTGAAGGCCACGTTTGGAGTCAGTACTGATTGACTTGTTCTCTCACTGGGAAAGACAGCACTTAATGAGCATCTACAAAGCACCAAGCTTTGCTCTAGGTCCAAGCTTTGACCCCACTGGAGACACAATACATCCTTGCTGTCACAGAACTGACTGGAGGGAGATGAACAGATCGACAATGTGCCAAGAGCCACACAAGAAAACGGAGGTGGGAGACACAAACGAGAACAAGCAACCCAAGGTGACACATTACGGTGACACGTGAATAGAGATACAACCACACGATGGCCCAGGGTCAGGACATTCCAGGAGGAGAGACGGACAAGGTCACAGCCTGGAGACAGACGCGTGACCGGCCTTGGAGAGCGGTGTGAGGACAGGACAGGACAGAAGGCAGACTTCTTCAAGGGGCTGTGGCTGTGATCGAAGAGACAGGAAAGGACTAGAGGGCTTGGGGTCAGGGGCTGGCCTGGCTTTCGGGGGAACACTTGACGCTGAGCAGGCTGAGCAGAGACTGTGGGGTGCAGATGTGGGGACACAGGTGAGGAGGGCAGGAGAGAGGGTGGCTCAGAGGGGCCAGCACAGGCAGACTAGAGCGAATCCCGTGTGTCTTCTAAAGCCAGCGGGGCTTTGACAATTTGTGTATTTGAGGCGGGGTTTGAGGTCTCTGATGCCACCAAGGTTTCTGACAAGGGTGACTAACTGGAGAGACAGGGCTGCCTGGAAAGGGACACAGGAGCAACGAGTGAGAGAACCAGGAGTCCATGTTGAGGGGGTTTTATGCAAGATGCTGGCTGGACAATGGGGAGGGACATGGGGAACAAGGCAGCTGGATACATGGATCAAAACTCACAAACTGGGCCAGTAAGATGGCTTAGTGAGGAAAGGCGCCTGCCACTAAGCCTAAGTACGTGAGTTCAATCCCCGGGTCCCACATGGAAGGAGGGGAGAACTGATCCTGCACTCTGCACTCTTCTACATGGGCATGCACATGTACACACACGCAGACACACACACACAAACAACATGCAATGAAAAAAATCTGAACTCCTATATCACGGCTGCCGTGACCACCGTGGAAGGGGAATTACGTAATATTTCTCAAAGCGGTTACACTGACTGCCACGTGGGGAGGACAGTGACACTGGGTGGGTGGAGTGACATCGCACCATCACCAACACTTGACACAGCACACCGCAGAAAACAGGACCTCTCACAGACGCACGCGGTCACGCAGCTTCACCTACAGAAGCACTGGGACCGCTTCAAGCAGGAGGTGTGGAAAGGACACAAAAGCCCAATGGGAAGTGCTGATTCTGAAGATGCTTCCTGCCAGGACCAAGAGATACACAACTGTGCACACACAGTGCTCACTGACACACACGTGCATGTGCATGCACACACACACACACACACACACACCATTTACCTCCCACGGTTCCCATTATCTACCATCAACCATCGTCTAAACTCTGGAAACACTCCCATGTTTTACATTTTACGCCGCTGTGAGTAGCGTGAAGACATCTCGTGGATCCCACTCTGTCCCAGCGCGATCACAAATCACTCTTTCTCCTGCCCACACTGCTGCGTGCTCTGTCACCCTCTCCAGAAGCCACCCCAGCCATCAGAGCAAATGTCACAGCAGCAGAGCGCTTGTGCTCAGCTACGCCCAAGGGACCCTGGTTCTTTGTGGGTTTGCAATCTCAGCGTGGCTACGTGTGTAGAAAAACTGTACAAGCAGGATTACTACTGCCTGTGGTCTGTGGCATCCCCGTGGCAGGGGACAAGATAAAGGGCAGTTACGACAGCTACGTGAAGGAGCGATACTTGGAGACATGTACAGAGACGACAGAAACATCAGACAGAGAGCCGAGGGGGGAGTGGCCCCCATCATTTCATCTGGGGTTTGGACAAGCAGATATGGTTGAAAGGGTGTTCCAAGCAAAGAGGAATGGGGGGGGGGCTGAAGAAGCTGCAGGGGAGACTGGACTGGCCACTGGCCGGAGCAGCCTGGGCCGGGTCTGCAGACCCGAGTTAAGCAGGTCTTTCTGACATGTGCTACCAGGCTGCCCTGGGAATCGACTCTATCAGCAGCAGAGCTCAGGCCGGGCAGGGAGCAGGGAACGGAGTCCCCACAGCTCCAGCCTACTGACTCCCGTGGTGACATGAACCAGCCTCAGCAGCAAGACGGGATGCTTCCCGGAGTCAAATGTAGGTCAAGGGCCGGGAGACATGCCCACAGGAAGAACCACCAGAACTGGAAGGTGCAAAGTCCCCGGTGGCTGGATATTTCATATCACCCTATTTACACAGAGTTGCCGGGCACTGTGTGAGGAGGATTATGCAGAACAGCCAGCGGCCTTTGTGACTCATTTCGCAGAACACAAAAACCTGTCTAAAATTAGACTCTGGACTCGAATAAGGCTTCTCAAGATGGAGAGACAAACACGATAATCACACCTGAGGCTTTCAGGCCACGTCTGTTTCTGCCTCTGCTTTAAGAACCTACGAAAGCTGCCACCAAATGCAGCACACATGTGGCCGAGCAGTCCTCTGCCGAGGGGACACAGACCAGCTGGTCCACGGAGCAGCTGGTACGACATGCCTAGATGTGAGACACAGCCTTGACTCGAATGGAGATCATTCGACAGGAAACCCTTCCGTGTTCGTTTTGTGGGGGACACACCGAGCGATCCCTTTGGCAACACAGATCCAATTCTGGTGAGAACAGTGTTCTCGCTCCCTGCAACTTATTTACTCACAAGTGGCAGGGCTTTCCCCTCCACATCACAAGTGCCTGATCGAATCTTGAAGAAATGAGCCAAGATGTCCCCACTGAGTTACGACCCCCACCCCCCACCCCCGCCATAGCTACTCTGCACGCTGCTGTTTATTTATTTATTTATTTAGGGTGAAGGACACGTGCATCACATTAGAGGGCAACCCCCAGGAGCTACCACGGGGGACCCGAGAATCAAACTCAGGTGGTCAGGCTTGGCGGCAAGCACCTTTATCCGCCGGGCCTCACTGGTCCGTCGTACTCTCATTTCTGGTCTCTGTCCGATTCCTTGGTTTGCCTCCTTGCTGCATGTGCCGGTAGCCACTGCTCTTGAGCGTTTATTCCTTTGGCTGTGTTTCACTGGGAGTTGGTTTTTTAAGGTCTCACTGTATGCTAGCTGGCCTGAAATCCATTGTGTAAGACCATGTTGGCCTCAAACCCGTGACCATCCTCCTGCCTCTGTCTCCTAGGTCACTGGGATTACAAGCTTGGTCCAGTGCGCTCAGCTTCTCAAGGCTAATGACTGCATTCAGGCGACAGCTTAACTTGAGAAGAATTACTGGATCTGACTATCTGTAATGCACATAGTAAAAAAGGCCTTTTAGACATGTGAAAATAGCTTAGGATCTCCACTACACCCAAGACTGCACCCGATAACCAGAACCTAGTGGCATCACTTATTCAAGACAACCAGGCACATGACTAGACTCCATGACGCCCACTGGACAGTCTACAACCAGAGACCAAGAACAGTGCTCTCTGCTCTGCGTATTTGGAGACACCATCTTGACCTGCCCTGTGGCTAGCGAGTCTCCCCCAGGATCCTGACCCTTAAACTGGAGACTACCATGAGAGACAGGACCTGACCTTCAGCTAAGATACGCCACAGGTGAGCAGCTTGGCTTAGGACTGTAGTTAGGCACTTAGAGTGTGATGACCCTCGGCCTGATAAAACACACCTTTTGTTATATCGACTATAAAATGTAACTGGACTTATACCAGCTGCATGCCTCTACCTTCTTGCTCTCCACACTACCTACACACAAGCAGGCTGTTCCTCAAGTTCGTACCCCTGAATGAAGTTTTACAGCTGTCTTCACAGGGCACAGTCCTTTTCTTCTCAGATACATTCCTGGATGTTTCACAGTTGCCCTGGAAACAGGATCTTTTTTTTTTTCCTATTATATTTTTAAGTTATTTCTGATAGGAATACTAATCATTTTATGCTTTTCTTGTATCACATTTCTAAAGGTGAGGTGAGACCTCACAACTTCAGTGGCTTTCTAACTTTCTGCAACTAGAAACTTCTAGTGAAAGGACAGTCTTATCTCAAGAAATCTGGAACCTAACGTTATATGGGGACAGACAGACAGACACACAGACATACACACACACACACTTTCTCTCTCTCACACCCCCTCCCTTCCCCTCTCTCTTCCCCCCTCCCCTTCCCCTTCCTCCATCTCTATCCATCTCAGTCTTTCCATGCCTCAAGCAAGTAAAGTAAATCCGTCTCATCCGAGAGATTTCACAGATTCCTCAGCAAGGCTGGGGCCTCCCTTCTTGCACTCTCTCCAGACACCAGCACTTGGAAGAGCAAGGACACTTGTCCTAATCGGCTTCACAGGATGGACTTCTCTGCCCCTTGCTGTGCGGAATATCCCTTTACACTGTGTGAGGATAACTCACTGTGATTGGCTTAATAAAAAGCTGAATGGTCAATAGCTAGGCAGGATTTGTGAGGCAGAGAGAACTCTGGGAAGAAGAAGGTAGAGTCGCCAGAAGAAGCCAGACAGACACGGACCGAGTTGGACACACAAAATGGGACAGAGGTAAAAACCACGTGGTAGAGAGTAGATCAATAAGAATATGGGCTAATCTAAGTTGTTAGAGCTAGTTAGGAACAAGCCTAAGCCACTGGCTGAGCTTACATAATTAATGAGTCTCTGTGTCATTTTTTTGTGGCTGGAGGCCCAAAGAAAAATGCGTTTGCAGATTGCTGCCCCACACCGGAGGATCCTCACCTCCTGAGTGAGGAGCAAAGGCCTACAGCCGGCTCTTTTCTCTTATGGCCACTTTAAAAGAGCAAGATCTTTGTCTGAGATGTACCAGGGCAGCTTGCTTCAGTGTGCTCAATAAATGCTTCCTCCCGATGGCTAAAAATAGGATTGTTATAAACAGGTAGTCTATCTTTAAAATGCTACATTGTATTTTTTCTTCTCCAATAAACATTTAAAATTATATCAAAATATTTAAACTATAAATTTCAACAAAATACTGCTCAAGTCACATCATAAATAACTTTGAAAAAATCATTAAGCTCTTAATGGTTAAGCTCTTAATAAACTGTTCTCTGGTCTGTGGGCCTGTGTAATAGTTTGTGCTAATAGAATATAAGCAGGCATGAGCTCTCTCTGATCTGCATCATTACTCCCCGCCTCCAACCAAATCAGAAGGTTCCAGAGACCCTCTAGGAGGAGAGGCCAGAAGAAAAGAGTCTCCTTCCCTAAGAGCCCGTGGAGCAGAGGCTACCTCCTCAGTGGAACAAACCTTGACCTTAATCCGCTGTTTTGACCATGCGCTGTGTAGCTAGCAGAGAAAGATGTTGTGTAGGGGGCTGGAGAGCAGTAAGGGTTTGGAGTAGCAGGTGAGGGAGATAAAAGACAATGGCTGAGACCAAACGGAAGGAGGAGGGCTGCGAGGGTCCCCCAGATGTGGAGTGGTGCCAACCTGCAAGGCTATGCAGTTTGTTTACGCTAAAGTGCTGGTGTTTAAAAACAAAAATCAAGAAACTCTATATGGAGTGAATATAAACATATACCAGAGAAACCCAGAGCAGGTGTAAGCAGAGCAAGACTGGAGGACCCAGGGTTCCCACTGCTTCACACCCCTGGGGCCTGCAGACAGAACCTGGGTCCTGGAGCTCATTACCTCAGGGTGAAAAGTCACTGTGTCACATGGTTAGCTTTCAGGGGCTATTCTTAGCAGGGGTCTGCTTCCTAGAGATGCTGATAGTTTCACAGCTAGTTCCCAACTTCATCCCATCAGGATGACATGTGACCTGGGCCACCTGAGCCAATTAGGTACTG